TTATTAAACCTGTTATACTGTATTATGAGAGCACTTTTTTAAACTAAATTCCAATATCGTGATAATACCGTATACCGTGATAAAAGCATTAGCAATTAATCGCAACATGAAAATTTGATACCGGCATATCCCTAATTTGAACTAAAACTAATATTAAGCAATATAAAAATAAAAAAATATATAAAGATATTAAAAAATAAACAGCTAATAAAAAACCAAGTAAGAAAAAAACAAGTAAGAAAATTACTGAAACTACCTCAAATTAAAATGAAAATGGAAATTATAAAAATGAATTAAAAATACTGATTGAAAACTATAATGGAATCGTATTTTTTTTTATATTTACAGTGGTTTAAAGTGGATGCCACTCGTTATGCAGTGAAATGAATTGTTTAAAAAGACTGCTTAAAAAATCTCTATAAGAAAAAATACAAATATAAGAAAAGATATAGATATTAATATAGAATTTTTAAAAAATTGATATTTTTTCTAAAGTATATGTATCTCACATATTGTAAGATCTTTTAAAAATATTTTAGTGATGCTTTAAATCTCTATTCCAAAAGTTGCATCTTTAAATTCGCCTCATTTACTGCAACGGTCATGCACAAGCAAACATGCACCTGTTTTTTTAACGTTATTTAAGTGCATCTCCATAAGCATTGTGTTTTATCTTAGAAACCTCCATTAATAGACTATCCTTCAATAAATTCATTAGCTTTACTGGAGGTGATATTGCAGATTTGTTGATTTGGTGCATTATCATAGAATTCAGTTGATGTGCATGTGCACTACAACATTTTAATGCATGAAAAATATCCTGTTTGGACTGTAAATAATGTTTGAGATTTTAATCAGTTCAAGAGTTCTTCAATGCCATTTTGTGCTACTGAAATTAGAGATGCTTTTAACATATTAATGAAAACTTACCTACCAAAAAAAATAAAATAAAAATACAGTTATGTGCAAGTACATCGTCCAGTTTACTTATTTAACCACACAGTATGGGCTAACATCTGATGCTTTAATTATCGGTCACTGCGTTTATGTTTTTGTTAGTTTTGCACATGGTCAAGGTTCTAAAAACAGCATCGACGTTCACGGAAACCCAATGGCAGGCCGTACAAATGACGGACGTGGCATGGTAACGTTAGATGGAAAGATATAAAACGGGCTGGATGAGAGAGCAGCGCTGCCCTTTCGCTCTCTATAGGTCAGCTTTATTTGAAGTGTGCAGTATGCAGTGTGGCAGAGCTGACACATGCACTCTAATTTCAGAGTGCTGCACTAAGGCAAGCTATTTGCCAGCAACACAAAAAGTATCCTCAAAAAATTTTGTTGACGTTCGCTCGGTCAAATACCGGGCGCAGTGAGTTCCCGTGCTTCATTTACATAATAATTATTGCCTAGAAATTGATCAACAGTCAAAAACGGTGTTTATGCACAATGATCAATGTGAAATTACATATAAAACAAGCAATTCCAGCTCTAAAAGTCATCAATATACACTAGCTAAACGACACATAAATAGCTTACAGTTACACTCATGAAATAGAGCACAACCGTGGTGCGGTGTTGATAGGCTATATATATATAATTAATATTAGTTATATATGTAATTTATGTATAAAAATTATATATATATATATATAATTTTGAAACACAAATAATAAATGAGGCTCAATCATTTATTAACAAACATGCATGCTTATTTTAGCACTTCCATCAGTGAACACACAGCCTGCAAAACACTAAAATAAATATTTAAGAAATAATACAGTTAAACAAGAAAGTAGCCTAAATAAGAAAGTTAAATACACCCTGTCTACCGGACATGAGCGGTGCGGCGCGACACGACAAAATACTATAGAACTCATTATAATCAGTGATGCTACACTGGATGCGGCACGACACGACATGACAAATCCCCGACAGTAAACTGCCTCGTCCTGTTTATAAGTTACTGACACAGAGTTCAAATGTCCTGTAGAGAGACTCAACCTGTTGCGACGCGGCGGTGTCTCGTCCGGTGTAGACACGGTTCACTGTTTCGCCGCCAAGCAAGCGGGCGCATTAACTCTCTTTGAAATATGAATCGTTGCCACATTTCTTGTTAACATCTTGTTAACATCATCGTCTTTTGTCGATTTTCAAATACTTTTTTGCTTGAAATAAAAGTTTGTAGTGTTGCGATTGATTCATGGCTTATAATGCTTATAGACATTTTTTTTTTTTAATCTTAGGGGGAAAATACTTAAAGTGGACGGGAACTAATGCACTCTATATATTATTTGGTAAAAGAATTGCAATTGTTCCAGAATATAAGTCGCTACGTTTCATTCTGATTGGCTAATTTTCTAAAGTGCTAAAATTTCTATGATGGAATTAGTATTACCATTCGCATCATTTATCATACTGCTGTTGCTGCTGTTTAATAAAACCAAGAAAAGGGGCATGAAATAGCCATTTTTTCATAGTTAAAAACATTCCGCCAAACATCCTGCCTAAAAACATCCTTCAGCCATGAAAATCTCCTTTGATTTACAGTTCTAGCTCTAAAATTCCTTGATATAACGCACACTGAATGCAATAACAAGCTAAATTGTGCCATATATATTCTAGTTACTCTCTTTAAATATATTTTTGGTGGAAGAATTACAATTACCACTTTTTCAGGGATATAAAGTCGCCATGTTTTTGTCACTTCTAGTACTCTAAATTCTGATTGGCTAAGCCGTGTTTGAAAACAAAAAATGCATATAAATGCACAAATGTGACTCTACAGTAAAAGTTGCTATGTTGGAATTATTATTATTATTGTTAATAAACGTAATTACTTATTGAAAATTTGTGTATTTTATCATATTGCTATTGCTGCCGTTTAATAAAACCAAGAAAAAGGCCATGAAAGAGCGATTTTATCATAGTTGCTCTGCCAAAAACATCCGTTAACCATGCTAAATGTTATTTGAATACATATGTGACCCTGGAGCACAAAAGCAGTCATAAGTAGCATATTTGTAGCGATAGCCAACAATACATTGCATGGGTACCACACATCAATGGAAAGCTATTTATTCAGCTTTCAGATGATGTAAAAATGCTCAATTTCAAAAAATGGACCCTTATGACTGGTTTTGTGGTCCAGGGTCACATATATGAAATTCAAAACATTACTCAATATAAATCTTTACTCAAACAAGGACTAATTAACGAGCTAATTAACAAACATACAGCAAGTCATGCGTAATCCCAAAAGACGCATCAAGTAAGCGGCAGGTCTTACCTTCAGCGAGTCGAAGCAGGCGATCACCCGTCCGTTCTCCACCTGGCAGCTCTTGGGCGGGTGTGCGAATTTGCATTCCTCGTCGCTGCGCGAGCACGTCCCTCTCTGAAACTGCCGGCACACCTCGAGCGTCAGCCATTTCGTGTCTCGCATCGACGCGATGTTTAAAGCCATAGCTGTTTGAGAACCTACAGGCTCTATGGTGTCAGTTGCGGGATTGTTGCTTCGGGTTCAAATAGTCTGCAAACGTATATCTGTGTTTTTTTTTTATGTCTAGTTTTGAGGTTTGTCGGCGAGGCCCTTTAAATAGAGACGTCACATTCAGACCCCCGCTGGCTGTCGCATGGGCGATGGCGGCTATCAGTGAAGCTGTCAATCTCGTTCATCAGTCATTTAGTCTCAGGTGCACAACAACGGCACGACAATAAGAACATGCTCCAGGTCTCTAAATGGTCTTGAGCTCGACGGCTGTGGATGGCAATATCTGAAGGCAACGGCTCTCCTTGGAACGATATCTAATAAAGTCTGTGAATGGAAAAAGCGTGTCGTTTCCTTGTGCTATGGCAAGTCTGAGGAATTGAGATCTTTTCGGAGGCCAAGCCAGTGTTGTTTACAGTGTAGGATGGGAGCGGCGATCAGCTTCAAGTAGGAACGTCGTCAGAGAAGGCACTTTCTTCTGTCCGGGATCTGGAAAAGACGGACAAGATTTGGGTAAGAAACATGGACAATAGAAACTTTCCACATCTATTTGGCACAGAATTGAATTTTCTACATTTAAGTATTACTTTATTAAATCTGGCAGGTTTTGGTGGCAGCAAAACCACCTATTATGAACCTTGCAGTAACCTAAAGTAAGAACAGAAATGCTTTAAATAAAGGAGTGCATTTAATTGCATATTAAACCAACGATATCCACCTAAAAGGAACAATAGACGGATGTTTTTCTGGAAAGCACTGGGTGTTACCTAATCAAGAGGCCATCATTTAGTCATTTAAGCAACAATTTTATCCAAAGGGACTTACAAATGAGGGACATCACAAGCAAAGCACAGGAGCAAAGTATATCAAATGTCGCATCAAAGCATGCTGGGAAAAAAACAGTGATATCGATTAAGCGCAGTGCCACGATCGGTCAAACGCCGAGGTGCAGAAACACCAAAGGAAAACACCTCCCCTTCCTAAACCATTTAAGACTGCCTAACCTGTCGAGTAATGCCAGAGATTTTAGCCAATAGAAAACACGCAGCGGCGCAATATTCCTGGCACGAGTTCAAATGCCAGAAAAGGACTGAAACAGATGCGTATTCCAGACGCGATCCTGTCAGCAACGGGTGCAACAACACCTCGACTGGCTCATTAGTAAGAAAGGATAGACAGGCAGAAAGATATAGAGAGACAGACACACAGAGACAGACAATGAAAAATAGAGACAGACAGACAGACAGATAGACAGATAGATAGACAGATAGATAGAACCAAAGACAGACAGAGAGACAAAGATACACAGATAGAACAATAATTCATAAAGACAGATAGACGCAGATCATTCCGTTATCAATTCATCATTAATAACCCCTGGCAGAAAAACTAGTCATCTCTGTCGGAAATGCAGCAGCTTATAACGTAACGACCACCGCAGGACTCAATCGTCCAATAATACGCCGCCTCTGGCAGGACTCGGGAACCTCACACAGACCTCGCCGCTGAAATAGAGCTCTTTTCTTGGAACATCTGGAAATATTTTCTTGTGCAAACTGAAGGAGAGGAGGGGTGGGGGTGGTGCAGCAGACGAAACAAGGCCGTAAAAATCTGCAGCTGCCGCTTAAGATTCCCTTTTCTGTGTAATGACGGCCACGTCCCCTCCACTTAGAGCAAAGCTAACAGACAAGTGCCAAACAATAACTACTGTGTGTATGGAACCCAACACTATAGTGCTTTGAACCTTTTTAGGGTGATTGCATGCATTAAATAAAACAAGACTGAACATGTTCTGAGGTGTGCTATAGAGGGCACGTGACACCTGGATTTGCCCTGAATGGAATATCACCATACTCATACTCATTTTTTAGTATGCAAATTTCAAATATCAACATTGGCTACCAGAAATCACTTACTCTGCCTTTAAAGTAACTGATAAAATATCTATATAAAATAAAATATAACAATAAAAAATAAATAGTAAAATCAAACCTTCATAACATTACCTGCAATGCTTTTCTGGAATAAAATAAAATAAAATAAAATAAAATAAAATAAAAAAAATAATTAAATTAAAAAAATAAATAAATAAAATAAAATAAAATAAAATAGTAAAATCAAACTTCCAAAACACTACTGCAATGCTTTTCCTGAAGAACCCAAAATAATAAAATATAACAATAAAAAATAAATAGTAAAATCAAATCTTCATAGCATTACCTGCAATGCTTTTCTGGAAGAACCCAAAACAAAACAAAACAAAATAAAATAAAAATAAAAATCACACATAACACTATCTGCAATGCTTTTCCTGAAGAACCCAAAACCGACTTTAAAACTGTTCAGGCAACCAACTGGTTGATTTTTTTAATATACATTTTTGCACATCCTTAGTTGAAATGTGCATTGAAGCCTTGAGTCAAGAGCACTGAATGCACCATACGGCTTTACGATAAGCTAAGATGACAAGGAACCACAGTCAAATAACTGGTCCAAAGGTCCAAACTGTCAAGCAGTCATTTTAAAAAAGCGTTCTAGTGCAGCTGTAATTTAAGATTCTTGTGCGCGGCACTATTTGAGCTCTTGAAAAACACATTAGCAAAGCTTCCTTTTTGGCAGCACTTCGAATGGGACCTAAGAGAGGCCGATTCCCAGCCCTGGAAAGGCAAAAACCCTGGTGTTAGAAGTTGATTCAGAAAGAGTCATTTGGACCTCTCAATCTACGCTCCACCATCGTACACTCCCAGCGCCCGCTGCGCCTTTCCATTTTACGATTATAAAATTAAATAGCCTGCCATACTCGTCGCACACGTAGTCTCTACGGTACGATTTAATTTCATAGCTTTACCCCCGAGAGTCAAACCATAAAAAATGGATGGCTGCAATATAACAAAGAGTGAAAAATTTAAGGGGGTCTGAATACTTTCCGTACCCACTGTATATATATATATATATATAATTCATTTGAGTTATTTTACATAAAAGATATTTAAATTTCACAAAGAAATGTGCAGCATTTTGTAATAACACCTTTTTTTTTAAATAATTTGTCTATTATCTCATTTCGTTAAAAAAATTGTGAGAAAATCATATTGTGAAACCAGTATCGTGAATCATATTGCATCGAGAGTTGAGCGAATCGTTACATCCTTACAGCGCACATGTAAAAACAAAAATCGCGTAAAAACACAATCAAAGCATAGCTGCAAACCAAAATTTGTTTCTCCCTTAAAGCAACTGCGATTCCAGTCAAATCAATGCAAATGTCTCCCTGTCAACTGTTCGCTCAAATGAGGACAAAACACTGGGTAGGTTTCTCCAGATGACAAGATAATATAGGCCTAAGTGAAGGCTTTTAAAGTTCAAGTGTGTATTTTTTAATGTTAAAATACCTTCTACTTTCTCTTAGTTTAATATGCAGAGTCAACTATTTGTAGGATAACGCCTCTGAAAAGTGCAAACAATGCAGTTCTGCAGTGCTTGAGCATCTGATACAACAACACTCTCGCTCAACTAATTCCATTTAGTAGAGCAAAAAAATTTAAAGAAAAAAAGCTCATCAAAGAGCAGGCCTAGACAAAAAAAAAAGACAAGATATTGCCAAGTCCTAAAAGGTTACTCTGACTCTTTGAAAACCGAGAACTTTAGCTGATAGTTCAAAGCTATCAAAGTCAACTTGGGGTAAAAAAAAGGTTAGTTTTGTCTAAATGGCACCGAATAGATATCAAATTGAAGAAGAGTGGCCAATAAACTGCTAGATACTGCCAAGTCACCAGATCCCCTGCAGTTACTCTGGGCTTCAGAGAAGCGAGAGCTTTGACAGATAGTTGTAACCGAGTAGGAATGGCTGCAAGTCAGAGGCTGATGAGGGCGTATAGATGGTGTGCAGGTAGGAAGGTGGCTGCGCTATCCTTGTTGTGACCTGCAGAGATTAGCGCTGTCTGTACACCCCCACCCTTCCCCACAATGATTAGTGCTTCCGGAGGAGAATGCCTGGCTGAACAGCAAAGCCGGGCATTCCACAGATGCAATTATCTATTATCACAAAAAAAAAGTAAAATATCAGATCTTACATCACCGCAGGGAAGAGTATCTCAGCAATTCAAGTTACCCAATCCAAGTCAACAGGGAGTCAACATTACGAACTATACACATAAGTTTGCCTCTGAAACAACTTTCCTTTTCAGATGACATCATCAAGCCCTCTTATTTTTAGCCCCTCCCCCTCTAACCACTAGGGGTGGGAATCTTTAGTCACCTCACGATCCGATTCCAGAACG